GATAAAAAGTTGTGACACTTTCGGTGCCTAGCTGCCATACCATCCGGCGGAAGCACGAGGAATGGGATACTGCCAGGTTACCCAAGCCCAGACGGAAGTTTATTGAAACGCAGTTGACGTTGCCCCGTTTCTCATCACATAACTGAAGAACGTCCCTAGAGTCTGATCACTGGTCATGTGGGATTTCCGAGATTTTCTGCTTCATGTTTCATTCATCTAACGGTTTATATGGAGCACTTCGTTGCGATTCCTATATAATTCTTTTTTACGGTTTATTTCAGAATCCAGAAGACGTCGTAAAGTTTTGGGAGCTGGCGGATGTTACTGGGTCTCGTTTGAGCATGCTGCAGCGACAAGTCAGGGGCGGTGCGTTTTTACCTATCTATTTGCTTGTTGAAAGAGCTTTGGTTTGTGCTTACTTTTCAGCCTACCGCTCCTGGCGGTTTTGTCTGTTGTGCCCAAAAAAAACCGGGTCGGGACTGTGCTTCTCTCACTCTGTACATTCACCATTTCACGTTGTAAAAAAATTGCTTTCCTCCATGCCAAAGCTCAGGCCTCTAGCCAAAGGCAACGATGAATCGTACGACTCTACCAAACTGCTAGGTTTTGTCGGTTCAGTGTTGTCTCTTGTATATCGTAGAAATGTCTTGATGAATAGAAATCACGACGGCGAATCACTCTTAAAACAGTTCTAAAAAATCAATGCTCAGGTGATCCCGTTTTTAGAAGGACCCTGGCATATTTCAGTGGTATAGGTCATTTCTAATCGGCCCCTTGGGGTGGTTCCTTCAGAAAAACAAAAGAAAACGCAGTTAATCCACGTCTCACCTACATCAGTGAATGTTTCCGCACGCTTCACGACACTCGCATACAAATGTACCCTCGTGCTTTTCCGTCATTTCGGCCTGTGGGATGTTCCGGCCGCTTCCCAAAACATACAGAGTGCGGGTGAAGAATAACCTTCAGCCCTTAGGGTAGCATTTTGAAATAGACCTTCTCTGGACGAGAGAAAATAGGCAAATGGTACACTCACATGACCTTCGGGGTGTTTTTTCATGCAGCTCTAGCATCTGCTGGACTATTCTTGCGATTTGTTGGGCTAAAGTGTGGCTGTCTATGGACTCAACTTCACGGAATACCTTACCCCGGAGGCACCTCGGGGTTCTACTCGCCTTCCAGGATGGGGACCGTGTGATCCTCACTGTGCCTGGTTGGAGACACTACAAGATATGGCTGGCACCCGATGTCAGTGGCGTTCTTGTTGTCAGTTTCTGTCCAGATTGCCTGAGTGAATTTCTGGAGGTGTAGGCACCTCGGAATGATTGTGTTAAGCTAGCACTAAGTCCCTCCCCCATCCACCTTTATTCTTTTCTTTACAATAAGGCTTTCAAATAAGTCATGGCTGTACGGCAGTGAAGCATTGGTGTTGAGCACTGATGTCATGCTGTCGTTGATGATGATGATGACCCCGTTGCCTGTTACGCTTTACACGATGCCAACTCTCATTTTTCGACCCCAGGAAAGTCTTCTGAAATGACTAGTTCGTTCGTTCTGTGCCGATGACTTCTGCAGCTATGCTTTGTTTTCTGTGTTATATCCAATAAGGGTTAGTTCGACCCAGTGTAGTGAGATGACTAAGGAATCGCCGCTATGCATAAGGGCGTTTGCAGTTGTCCTGTGGATGTAGCTGCCTCGCACCATACCCATCCTTTGGGTAATCTACAACAGCTCATTTTAGTTCTACATTTTGCTTATTCAACCCGCTATAAACCTGCATAACACGTACCGAAACTCACGGATGACAGTGTCTGCTACTTCGGGAGCCGGAACTGAACTTCAAGGGCCGAAATTCCCAATATTTTTCAAAATCGCAGTGGTCTAGGGAACTAGATGGCCTTTCGAAACATAAAAATGGTGATTTGATAGCTGGAGTGACTAAAATCCTATGTTCTTATGGTTCAAGGCTGATGACTACTGTTGATAGCAGGTCTTATACTTGTTGCCATCACCTTGGGCCTGATAGAGATATCAGTTTCAAGTGTCTTGATGGACGGTCGTGAAACTGTGTCGGTCCCTTGGCTTCCTGCTCCACCCACTATGGTATATCAAAAGGCACGGTCGCTCTACACAGCCCTTTATGGAGGCAAAGGAAAATTATTACAACTGTATTTATAGGGTAGTCACAGAGTGTTCCACAAGATCGTGCTGGAGCTGCGGGAAGCGTCGCGTCAAAGATGCTCGACTCGGATTGGCTGACATTCTGACCAATCAGGGCATGCCTCCGTTTGATCCGTGTCCTGCACGTGACGCATCCGTCCAACTGATGTGATGTTCGGTTATTAGGGACAACTGGCCTCCGGACACAGTTCACCATTTGTAATCTGCTAGAATCATGCCGAACGAAGATTGTTATGCCAGAACAATGATAAACCGGAAATATTCTCACATCTCTCCCACGAATAGCAATTCGTGAAAATACTATTCATGAGTTTGCTGAAAACTCCGACCTTGTGAGTAGTGTGTTCTGTTAACAAATTATACTGCCAATTTAAATGTGAGATGGCTCTTGTGGGACACATTTGATGAATGTCCCGAATGAAACATGTACCTGAGTATCTCATTAACACCGGTGTCGATTTCAAGTGCGCGTATTTCGTCAATTAAACGGACGAACTAACCAAGAATGACCTTGATACCAACTATACTAATTACGCCGGATGGTACGATCAACGGTTGAATGATGAGAGAAGGAGACCCGACGCAGAAGCCGTCGCTTCAGCGAATAGTGCAGTATCGTTTGAAATCAATGGTGGTTGGTATGAAGAGATTTAACTGGTTTATAAGCTCTGGCTTCTGACCCTAATAACTTCGACCTTCGAGTTGTTAGGCCCGGCAGCTCGGAGGTTTTCAGTTCTCTTGCCTTCTTAGAAGCTTAGTTTGGGCTGTTGGATAGATAGGACAGGGCCTAGACCATGTCATTAACGCTTCCAAGATGTCCACCTAAAAAATAAATAGTCCAGCTGTAGCACCCTTTCGGTGTCTAGCTGCCATGCCACACGAATGAGGCACGAGGGCTGGGATACTGCTAAGCTGCCCAAGCCTAGACAGGGAAGTCGAGTTGGCAGAGGTCGGGTTCGAACCACGGACCTTCCGGTCAGTGAATTCGCGCTCTAACCACTTGGTCCATCTCGCCCTCAGATGCCCACCTAAGTAGACAACATGAGTGGATAATACCGTCCTTTTGTGGGCATGGTCTTTTGGTCTGTGGAGCCGTGATTCCCTGTCCGATCGATCACAGACCTTCACGCGCGACGTTACAATTCATTCATTTGCCTACTCATGAATAGTTTGAAAATAATCAGTTTATTATGTAGGTCCGCCATTACTGAGCTTCACCCCAAGCTCTCACACACTTCGCTAAGGTTCCGTGTGGGTCGAAATAATGGTAGTTCTAGTGCATTTGTTGAGTGATATTCAGGTGGCTGTTAATCTGTTCGCCGAGCTTGGCAATTCATTTACAAACGTTTAGTGACAAAGGCCTGCAAGTTGATTGCCAAGCTCGGCGAACAGATCAACAGCCACCTGATCGACAACCAATGTTTCATGCGTGTTTTAGCAGATCTTGAAAATTCATAGGTTCAGTTTACCTCTGTCCAGATTTAGACACCCTAGCAGCAAGTAACGTGATCTAAACTGGCCGCATGGCAGCTGTATGTATCTGACCGTTTTGATCCCTAAATTGCACATCCTCACCGCTGAATGGTTTGTATATCCTAGCTTCCGATGCGCCCATTCGTAAACAGCACTGCAGCATTCATCAACATATTTTTCGCTTTCACTATATTCAGTTATCTGATGTTTCGGCCTCTACACATTTGCCCGCCGATCTTGTTCCCTCGGGCTTACATCGGAGCCTGGAACTTGCGCACAGCAGCGCACAGAACACCTATGGCTTCTTACGATGAGCAGGCGTCCGGTGGTTTGATCACTTTATGCTAATCTATCATACCTAATGTTTTGACCCACACATGAACCTCGTGTAGGCAATAGATGCCGTTTTTCCGTCAATCGGTCCATTGGTCAAATCCATTTATTATTATTTACTTTTCGTCATTCCACCTTGACAGACTTACGTCGCCGGCCAAGTACACCATCCCCGCTCTATGAGGACTTGCGAAATGCGTTGTTGAAAAAGGATGTAGAAGGTGAGTATTAGTCCGAAGCACCTGCGAGATCTTTTCCAGATAAGCCTCGCCAAAAAATTAACTCACGCCACCCAAAAAAGATTAGAAGAAAGAGGATATGAAATTTGTACTTTTAGTTTTTATTGAAGAGGGTGAAAAGGTCCGTTTTTCGGTACCGTTGCCTCCAAACGATCTCGCACAAGTAGCTGTCTACTAAAGATCAGTGTGTACCGCATTGGCGTTTATTCTACATCTTGTAGACGTGTCAAAGAGATTCGATGGTTTGTGTGTGAGCTCCAGTCATTGGATCCACAAAGTTTTCGGTATCACTAGCCGTTTCATGAGTATGATTCATGTCAATCATCGTTTCAATTCATTGGTATGACGCCCACATATCGCAGATGATGATTGAGCCGGGAGCGATGCAGGCCTGGATTGTGTCTATCAAAGTGACCGCAGTTCGATCCGGCACTGCATACATGAACAACTCTTTAGTTTCCCGGCAGATCCCCCCGAAACTCCACTGCTGGGGAAGGACTCGCCGTGTGTGGTTTTCACCGCGAGATATTAGCGTTTCATCAATCTCGGTGTGTCGACCTGGGCCGCCGATAACTGTTGGAGTCCGCAGGCGCAAACTTCGCGAAGAAAGTTCTTCTAGTCGACAGCGGTTGTGTGGCTAATAGATAATTCTTTTGAGAAGAATTTGGCTTTCATCAAATTTTTGGACCGGCATTAAATGAATAGAATTAGTGTCCTAAACTCCATCCTACACCCCTCCGGTCAAGCTCCCTTTCAGACACTGTCGAGCATTACACCTCCACCTATCAGAAGCAGTTGAAAGTGTCATTTGGTGGCCATTGTTGCATAAACAACCGTTCAGCTGTAGCACCCTTTCGGTGCCTAACTGCCATGCCACCCGAAGATTGAGCGTGGGCTGGGATACTGCCGGATACTGCCGGGTTGCTAGAGCCTACGCAGGGGTCGGCTTCGAATCATCAACCTTCAGGACAGTAAAATCGCTCTCTGACCACTTCGGCCACCTCGCCCCATTGTTGCATAAACGTTGCTGATGGATCACTCCGTGGCTTTTCAGATAACGTATTGCCGTCTCCTTGCACACAATAAGCCTAGATGCGGACAAAGAATTGATTTCATCCAAAATAGGTCCAAGTTGTGTGCATACGTTAAATTGAAGCTGGCAAAAATTGGCGGGGCTCAACTTTTCGCACATCCACTTTTCGTATTAGTGGCGGTGCTTATCTGGAAAAGAGCCCTAGTAACCTTTGAATCAGGTTTAAATTCATGACTTCCGCAACATTCAATTATCTTTTTACCAGACGTCCGGTTGTTCGAAATGACTGGTCTTCTTTGAAGGGGAATTCTATCAATACATTGATCCTGGATACACTTTTGGGCCGACTTTCTCTCAGTTCACCGTGTCGTTTGGCACTTTTCATCGTTATTACAAGCAAATGATCGTGTTCATTCGTTTCTTTGCGTGAAAATGGCCGGGGATAGCTTCACGTTCAAATAGCTAGGTAACTGGAATTGGTCTAAGCCGCAACGAGCGAAGTGTTGCGATATTCCATTATTTAGATTGAGGTTCTAGGACTTACCTAATGTAGTGTATACTCGGCAAACGCATACCTTCACTTTTTCAGGTGCTTTTGGCCTTCTGAACAAAATGCCGCATGTCGGTAGCGGTATACTGTCTGGCTACATCGTTCCACAGCTTCTTAATCTCGGTGTCGCTCCCACTGACATCGTTGATCGCATTGAGGTAAGTGTGCACCGTGCATTCCTCTCACTTGTATTCTTTTGCCTTGCATTATTTGAAGTATAATTGATTGTGTCTCCTAGCACACCGCAACCCGGTCTGTCTGAATTAGAAGACTCGACTGGCCGAATTGGTCACTTGCTCCGTATGCCAGTCGACCGACTTCCTTGAAAGAGTTTTTCACAACCACCAATTAGAAGACTCGACTGGCCGAATTGGTCACTTGCTCCGTATGCCAGTCGACCGACTTCCTTGAAAGAGTTTTTTTCGCACAACCACCTTAACGGCGGAAACAAGTCTGGAGAGGTCAAATGGTGACTTGGCAACAACAGCGAATTCGACTGCGCTGGTCATTGCCATCTCGTTGGACGGGAACCATCAGACGGGACGCATCAGCGGTTAGAGACGTTGTCAGGCGTTACCCGGTCATGTCCTCGGTTTCGCCTGTTGCCTTCAATGCATAGCTCCCCTTCTAATCTCCCCAATGAAAAGTTGACTGATAACCTTGCATCTACGCGCCAGCTATATCAGCTACCGTCTCCACTGTGTAGCCATCTACCATACCTCCCCAAATCATTGGTGAATGGAACTGTAGCAACTCCAACCATTGTACGGCAACTACGTGTTTTTTCCACAGCTTCTGCTGTTAACGATGATCATGACGGGTGAAACGCCAGACAGGTAGTGTTAAACCAACGGCCGCATCAATCCTATGCATGAATAAATATGACACTTTTGCCACTACGCTAAATCTGATTTGTTCCACGCTCACAGCTCGCATTCAGTAATCTCGAACGAGCCGATGGTAACTGGTTACGTGAATGATGTCCCTTCAGTACGTGTGTTCTAAGCATTAGCTCCTATAGATCGTTCAAATGCATCATTGTTGGTACTTGTGGACGACCATGCATCTCCGTATCGGTCCCTTGGCTTCCAGCTCCGCCCACTATTGCTCTTCACAGCCCTTTATGGAGACAAAGGAAAATTACTACAACTGTATTTATAGGGTAATCACAGAATGTTCCACAGGATCGTGCTAGAATCTCCGTGAGGGGGCGAGAAGCGTCGAGTCAAAGATGCTCGATTCGGGTTGGCTGGCATTCTGACCAATCAGACATGCCTTCATCCGGTCCGTGTCCTGCACGTGACACATCCGTCCAAATGGTGTGATATTCGGTTATTAGGAACGGCTGGTCTGCGGACAATCATTAAATAGCACTTCATTCGTCACTATCTGACTGTGAACAAAGACGACTATCGATCAAAAGAGAGATATAGCAGAGGGAACAGATCATAAGAGAACCTCAACTACGCAAGAGAGACTGTTACAGATCCTCCTCGCGGATGTGCTTGCTGTTCAAAATTCACTCCGTAATCAGGGCTCAAATCACTGCTGACCGAGGATAGCTCCATTAGTATTTCGCACCGATAGGACATAACGTATGAATATTACTTTTTGTGGCAAAACTGATGCCAGGTGGTTTCAGTAATTGTCTCCAGATCTGAAAAAAAAACTATTAAGAGACTATATATAGTGGGAAAAACTTAGATTGCATTTTGTTCAGTATATTTGGGGAATGTGCCTTCAGTTTTCCCTCTCCATCTGGAGGCACCACTTCATACTGGAGTCTCACACCGATTCGATAGTAAAATGCAGTTGAAAACTAACCAAGAACGGTTACTTAACCAGTATGATACATATTTGAACATGTTTATGGAAGTCTTACTGGAAGGACTGTGTGACAGAGAAAAATGTTTATAGTACTCATTGTGAGGGGACGAGATGGCTCAGTGATTCGAGCGCGACTTTACTGTCCCGAAGATCTGTAGTTCGAACCCAACTTCCGCTTCCCGACCACCCTGTAACTTGGCAGTATTCTAATCCTCGTGCTTCATTCCTGCGGTATGGCAGCTAGGCACCGAAAGGGAGTTACAACTGGGCGATTATTCATTGATTTATTTATCATTAGGACTCACTGGAGGCACAACTCTCCATTCTCTATGGCACTCTACCTGAACTACGTATTTTCATGTCAGTATGCAAGTTATATCGAGTCAAGTCCACAGGCACCGCACATTTCTTTCCCAACGGTTTATTTCCCTCATTCTATTCACATTGCTAGCGTCCTGAATTACGTCCTGTGGCCGCGTTCGGCTGCTTCATTCACTCTCTGACTACGAACCGCAATTCGACCTCCAGCTCTTCGGTGGACTTCGAGGCAGCGGAAAAGTTGGTGGACCAGTTCGTGCAACAGGGCTATTCACTGGATGATCAGGCCGTTTCACTGTCCACGTTCGCAGTTCGTCAGCTGGTGAGTTCATTTTTTTTAACATTATGATTTCCCCCGCTCCATACCTACCGGATTTTTCTACCGCACTTTCCTCCGTTACCTGAAGAACAGATAGGATTTCCTCATCTTGTGCGTGGAAAGTAGAATTCCTTCGATGCGGTCAAAAAGATTTTGGTCGTTTTATTTCGCCTTGCTACTGATTTTGTAATGGCCAACAACCGTTGCTGTTATCCCCAGACAAAGTATCAATGACTGACGGAAATTCCCAGATCACCATGTAGAAAACAGTGGACTACTTGTTTTCTACTTCACAGAAAACCCATCTCTATGTATTTCGTCACTTGACATGTTTTCGGTGCGCTTTTCCTCAGTTACCCATTCGGTTTCGAATGGTTTCTGTCACCGCGCATCTACCAACTTTGTTTACAAATGGTACGAACTGAATCAGCAGTTCAGTCAAGGTGTTATTTGATTGTTTGTTTACTCTGGTCCGACCATCCCTTGCCTTGCAGAGAGTACGTTCTTGACAGGTTTAAGCATTAATCCCTGGTCGCACAGTTTTGCAAATTTGCTGGGTTTGCTTTCAGGGATGTTTCTGGAAAGCTGCACAATCATTTACTGTGTGATTGCCCGCTAAGCAATCTGTTTTCCTCGGTCCCAAGTGTGATTTCTGGGTCATTGATTATCTACTCGTTGAGTCAGTAATTTTAACAAGACGAAAACTTGCAAGGGACCGTGCTTCGCCGTTGGTACTAAATTATCCACAATAGAAAAACGGATTTTTTAGTTCCCATAAGAGAGAGGGTAACGACGCGGTTAACGGACCGGGACTTCATACACAAGTTGAAGTAGCCTCATTGCGTTTGGGCACACGTGATTTCCGATGGATGAACTTCGGGATCAAATCAACTCGATACCGACATGCTAATCGCGGTAGCAGTGTTCATCGGCTTTGAATCTACAATGAGGATGCTCCTTTCTGGTATCCAGACAGCGGTCGGTTATTCAATCACCTTTGAACTGCTATGCACCATGGGGTTTGCCCCCAATAGGTGGAATGATTGACCCAATGGAAAGTGTGGGATGGGCTCCACTTTTTTGCGATTGTATCACAGACGTTGCCAAACAAACCGCACAGAAGCGACTATCAATGCGTATCTAATCAAGAAGAGGCGCTTTCGCCCGATTATTCAATGCAATGCCCACGTCGGCATGTCTACCTGCAGCGGCCTCGGCATCACCAGAGTTACACAGCCGGAACCTGGAATAGAGTGAAGGTCAATCATTTAGATCATAATACTTGTGCCCTGTATCCTGTTTCCGGTAGACAATAGTTCAGTGCAAAGGGGATCCGACGTGCGAACAAAATCCGCTTGTTTCCTTTTTTCCCCTTTAGGAGATTAACCTTTCTGTGAGCAAGGGAACTCCTGGACACGTCAAAGTTCACATCATACCGCTAGGGAATTTTTTCACCTTCCGGTCATGCTCGACCATGTCCACATAGGGGTTTTCAGCGTGGGTAAAACTGTCTGAAAGTGTTTCCTTACCAGCGGGGTACATGCCCTAGCCCCCTAGTCCTCACTCACTATCCACTGACGCACCACTTCGTTGCGAACTCGCTTCGGCCAACTAGTTATTCCTGCACTGTGGGGATGTCGATAGTGAAAAGCTTGAAGACGCCAAAGGGTTAGAATCGCGCAACCTTAATTTTAGGCCGCTCCTTCTGTTGCCTTCTGTACACTGCCTTCTGGCTTTGGGGAAATTAGTTTCTCACGCAATGAATGGTGTAAGTGAACGAACGCCGATCGCCCCCTCATCCGCGTAATGACTTCATCTGTTACAGTACAGCGTAGTAATATGCCAGTGGGTCGCGTTTTTTACTCTTTAGAGGTGTTACTGAACACCCTCCCAACCAGAGCACCACGTCCGACACGTTTTTTTTCTAGGCTCATCCACTCTACCTTACAGCTAGAATTATGTGTGCCTACTCTCTGCCGGCGCGTTGATTGTATTCTTTCATCTTCCCCTAGGTTTCCCCTCTCGAGGATATGCCCGAGACATCTTCTGATATTGCAGTCCAACAAATGGTGAAGTCTTTGGAGCTCATTGGCAAGATGGTCAGCCCGAAGTGTCTGAAAGGTTTAGTGTGTCAGCTATTCCAGCATTTTTTGCAACGATATGAAGCCAGCTCCAAGGGCAATCACCAACGACCTACAGCACAAGATCACATGGCTCTGCAGAGACTGATCGATTCGTGTATTTTGATGGTAATGGTTTAAAAACTCGATCTGGGTCATTCTGTTTTTGTCTTTTTTTTTCTCAGTCACCATGTCTACTTTGTTCCGCATCAATGATCGGTCGTTTTACCCCTCCACAATTCATCATTCTGCAAAATCAGTTTTCCATTAGGCGCTTATAGTTTTAATGAATTGCGGTCAACTTTCGTCGCGTTCATGTTCATTCATTCCGGAAGTATTCTGACTGCATTCTTATACACCTTCCCGTTTAGGATATAAAATTCCACCGGGACCACTGGATCTTCTACAGTTTCAATAACTGTGAATTTACCCTGGTGAGTGGCTATTATTTAATTTTGTATAACTGAACCGTAGTCGTTTCCCAATCATAACTTCCATTAGGCGATTCGCCTCGATTGGTGTCTTCAACTGACGGGAAGGTGCTTGGTTCGGACCCGACCTCTGCCTCTCGACATCCCCTGTCTAAGCTTGGGCAACCTGACAGTATCCCAGCCCTCGTGCTTCCTTCTGGTGGCATGGCAGTTAGGCATCGAAAGGTTGCTGCAGCTGAACGAACGAACGAATTGGCACAATTTCACTTATTTTAACACAAGAGTGACAATAAAAATTGATTTTATACATTAAATCTGTAGCTGTAAAGCAGCAAACTCAGTTGGCTTATTGCCATGACTGAACTGTGCTGTGTCACTGCACTGACAGTGATAATAATACTGATATTGCCTCGCAACCAGTGCGGAAATTGTAGTATTGGGAATTTTTGTATGCACACATTTCGATGGATACTTTGTTCACTTTCATTACTATTCCCGTAGCTTGTGATTTAGCCACTGGGACTGCAGAATATCTTGCAGCGTGATTGATTGCCTTCATGGGGCGAGATGGCTCCGGTGGTTAGAGCACGAATTTACTGACCGGAAGGTCCGTGGTTCGAACCCGACCGTGTTTCTCGACTTCCCCTGTCTTGGCTAGGGCAACCTGGCACTATCCCAGCTCTCGTGTTTCCTTCGTGTGGCATGGCAGCTAGGCACTGGAAGGGTGTTACAGCTGAACGATTGCCTTCATGTATATCCCACGGCCTTGAGATAGCTCAGTGGTTAAGGTGCCAGCGTACGAACGGGAAGGTTTGAACCCAACCCTCGACATCTCAACTGTTCCTGTCTAGGCTTGGGCAACCTGGCCGTATCTCAGTCCGTGTGCTTCCTTCCGTTGGCATAACAGCTAATATTGAAAGGATGACACGGCTGGAAGATTTGATCTGACTTGATTTCGGGGGTTGAAAAATCGTTTAACTGTAGCACCCTTTTGGTGCCTAACTGAAAGAAGCACGAGAGCTAGGATACTGCCAAGTTGCCCAAGCCTAGACGGGGAAGTGGAGATGCAGAGGTCGGGTTCGAACCACGGACCTTCCGGTCAGCAAATTGGCGCTCTAACCGCTGAGGCATCTCGCAGAAAACAGAGTTTAGAAGTGTCGTGAAGTTCCGGCTGGTTGTCACAATCACAACAAGTCATTCAACTTTAAACAAGTCAAGGTGCCCTCATTCGCGATGTTAGTGGTCTTCTGTTTAGGATTCATACTCTTCTGACCATAATTCATGCGTATCGCCAGGTAATCTTGTCCGCTGTGAGATCAGTGCATGACGAAGTCTGCTAACATTGTCCACAATCCTTTTAATTTATACCAACCAACTCATCAGTGCTGGGGTAATCCACAAATCCTAGCTGCCATGCCACCCGGAGGAAGCACGAGGGCTGGGATACTGCCAGGTTGCCCAAGCCTAGATAGGGGAAGTCGAGAGGCTGAGGTCGGATGATACGAATTCCTAGAGCTTCTGCTGAAGGTGGAAAACTAATTTGAAGTGGTAATGTGTACCCAAGACAGTACAACGAGATCCATTGGGCCATCTGATCCTAATACTAATACCATTGCATCGTACACACGCTTAGGCAGATCAGCTGGTCCGATGAACGTGACACAGTACACAATACGCTGATACCTTGAACAGCTGTTTTACTCACAAGTTCAAATGATATGATAACAAAGTAATGTTGGTATACCTTATCTATTTTTTTGTCTCGCTGTTACAGGATAAAATAGACCAGCTGAAATTTCTGCCGGTGTCGGATGCACGCCCTGTGGAAGAGACTCTAAAACCTATGTAAGTTTTACAGACGTAATACACTACTCATAAGGTTGCTGACAACTCTTGTGTGTGTTTTGCTATGTAACTTTTGTTCCTATTTATTACGCGGTGCTCGTTAGAGTTCCATAGCTTCAATAGTTTCGGAAGGTGTTTGATACCTCACTCCCGGATGTTTTCTTTGGAGACATTAGGTCCTCATTTCTCCCCTCCTCTTTACCACCTTTGTTCAGAGCCTTATTCCTCCGTGGTTCTTTGGTACTTGTGATCCAGTTTCCATTTTTGGTATATTACTCTCTATGATAATGATTTTATACGCAATTTTCGTTTGCTACTGTGCCACTGAAAATTTCACAACTTGGAGCCGCTTGTCAAATCTCTAAGGAAAACAAACAAACTGAAGTGTCTCTTCAAATGACCATTTGTTTGATCAGCTTGGCATCTCTCCAATAGCTTGTTGCTTGGGTTACTGGATTATCTTTCTTAGTAATTGGCCGTTGTCGGTCTTCCCTGGCTATCTTCAGTTGTCTTGATAGGGCAGTGGTTCCCAGCTTGCAGTCAGCACCTTTTATTGGCTGCGAGGGCATTCACGATTGAAGAACCGTTTGGTAGGACGATATGCTCGGTTGAATTTATTCACCAGTTTGGATCTGCACTTTGAACTCATATTTTCAAGACAAGATAGGAAGTTTTTTTTTAAATCCCTCTGCCTATCGTACCTTTGTAAACACACGTCTAATGAAAGCCAAATTGGTTTGGGGGGCGTCACCCGTAACATACTCCCAAGTCAGTCCATGCTACCTAGGGTGTTTTGTTTTTCCCGAATAGGTGGTATCAGTAGTGACGCTCGACGCCCTATGACCCTTGACATAGAGACTCATCCTTGATGAACACGGCAGCTGCCGAATCCAAGTGACACTAGTTTTTGGTGGGTGAACCAATGCACTAGAGTTGCTAAGCAAATAGCATCCACTCAGTCGGCCAACAACTGCACCGTTTGATCATCCGATTACCGCATTTTGTGCTGCTGGTCTACCTGTCTATCTGTCATTTGATTCTTTGAAAATTGCATGCACGTACCACAGGCAACCACCTGTTTGCACTACAATGCTGTTGGACAGAGGCCACTTCTGTGAGCAGCCGACGGCAACATTCTCTGTTGGCCACACTCACTTCCACTCATAGTGCACCGACGATGCCGCCTCGACTGGGGGTGAAATGTTTTACGGCAGTGAGGCATCAGTGACAACACTGATGGTGCTGTCTTTGATGATGATGATGATGGTGGGGCTCGCTCCTAATATAATCTACAGAGAACACGTGGGTAGACAATCTCGCTTGTTTTTTAATATGCTTTTGGGCAATCCAGACTTAGTCCTGTTACGATTCGGCTGGTGTTATGTTATCATTGTCAGATGTCTGGTGGTTCGTTAACAAGCTAGCTTTTTGGACAAATTTGTCGTAGCCCCCTGTAGATTTGAAACGCGAATTAATCTTGTTTTATTCTTACCACTTTGTCCACAGGTCCATGCGGAAACGCGTGCGCAACTTGCTCATGGCAGGGGACGTTGAGTGTGAGTTCACTGTTGTGCATAGCATGTGTTCGCTGTTAGACGTTCTACTATTTTCGATCACAACCAACGTTTATGCTTGTATTCATTAATTCATTTCAGTTCATCAGCTGTAAACTGTGTACCATAGCTAGCTGCTACACTTTCGATCACCGGAAAGTGGGAGAGTGCGGCATAAACAACCAAACGTTGGAGGTGATGGCATGTTCAGTTAGCTCAGGGGTTGGGTAGCTTTGATGAACGAGCGCCACTGACTGAGCGATTGGGTCATTTCTGCTAGTGTCATCAGCCATTGGTGAATTGAGTCCTGTGGTCCCCGTAGGGGAAAGGGGCAGCAGTTACCGACTCGACTAAGTTTAGTGGCTAATGCTTTCGTGCTTCGTTATCAGGTCATACACTGCCCACCTCTCGGTCACTTCCATTCAGTGCAGGGCTGGGCGAAAAGAGCTCTGCGAGACAGATGGTCTTCTGGCATTTGGTCTACATGTCCTAAACACCGTAACCTATGAAGTGTGAGTAATTCATCTATTGCGGGAGAGTTCCTTCTTCCTGAGATAATTTGGCGTACCTCAGCATTACAAATTGGATGTTTCATCCAGACCCGACCAACTCCTCGATGTTGAAACACCAACATCTTTCGTATATCTCCCGTGCGTAGAGGCCACGTTTCTGGTCTATAACGCAGTGTACACTCTGCCCTTGACAGATAAACTGACGTCACATTGGCGCCATAGGTGTCGGAGGTTGGCGAAATCTACCCTTAACTTCCCGATTCGAGAAGTAATCTCATCTCCAGCCAGTCCACCGGAACTTATACAACTGCCCAGGTAAATTTATCTACCAATGGCTCGCCCACAAGCTTGAGGTTTGGGTTTGATCCAACCCAGTCTTGAAGCGCAGAGTTGTTTAGGCTATTTAAAGCAGTTTGAATTTTTGAAGGATCCGAACCAAAGGCAGCAATATCGTTCGCATACTCTGTGCCTGTGAGGTGGAACGTTCCAGGGACATTCCGACTCTCGAGGTTTCCGAGGTATGAAGAGAAATTTCAAGCAACACATCAATAAAAAAACTTGAAGATGAAAGGCAAGAGGTGGCAGCCTTGTCGTGCACCACTGGATGTGATGAACTCGGGTGAATGCAAGTTTTCAGCAAGGGATCCCCCTTTCCCAATTTGACGTAGAGTACGGACATTATAGGCTGGATCAGATGTCTTGGGGTTAGTAAGTGATTATTTTGGTTTGTTTTTCAAAGTGAGGGTTTAGACACGGAATGGTGGCTAGGATAGTGCCAGATGAGTTGATCGCACCGCATTGTTCGATGGATGGGGAGGGAGTATGGGAGAAAGCTGCTGCAAGGGCAGACGATACTTCCCGGTTGCCCAGGTGGAAGAAGAGGGTTTCATTAAGGTTCCCTACCTTGATCCTTTGACTCAAAAGTTTGACCCAGTGGGATGGTGTAGGGTTTTGTTCGGGGACCCTATCCCTAGCCTCTGACTCAAAAGCCTGGAATCACGAGACAGCGGTTGTTGGTTTTTCTTGGGGGACGCTTCCCGGAGCCAATGATTTAATAGTCTAACCTGCTCGATTGCAGGGGGTTGGCCCGACCCGAGGACGCAGGCAGTACATTACTGTCACCTATTGCGTCTGCGCACAGCAGGTGACTGTTGAGCAGCACCGAACTCTTTGGTTTTTGAAAGTATTTCGGCCGTATTGAATAATGCGCCGCTGGTCACGGTCAACCGTTGGGTGATCGGATTGTGCGGTTTTCGGGGTATCGCTGCTTTCATAAATATGATCACGCTGGTCACCTGGTGGGAGTGAGATAGCTTACCGCCTTCACAGTCCTGTCACAGAGAACAGTACGAGTTTACGTCCCGACCGGCACGTAATGCGATTACTGGCAGTTCGGGGACACGCTGTTCTTCGTCGGGCTAGTCCGTGTTGGCCTTCCTGGCATGGATGAACCTCTAGGGACTGAGTTCCGGCCAATATAACCCACAGAATTATTGCAGCACAAAAGCCTGACCACCACGATAAGGTGACAGCTTTGAGTCGGGTCAAAGCAGCTTTCAAGTTGAAGAGAACACCCATTGTTGGTTGCTGGAATCAGTGTCGCTTTTCCAGAATCTGTCGGAAGGTGAAGATTTGGTCGGTGCATCGCTGGGGGGCGCTGCCGGGCTTAAACCATAATATAGTGAGGATGCATTGCCGTTTTAGTGAGACAGTGGTTTCGTTCAACGAGACGTCGTAGTTTGGCTCAGTTTTCACTTACAAAAACGGACTGTATAACGTCAGTGCTGCTGTCGAAGATACCGACCGAATGCCGCTTGATGAATGTTCTTGCTCTCCGATATCGTTTCGGTGCATTTCTGTAGTGATCAGCCATACCATGGGCTAACTAAAGCCGCCACCCTCCATCGGGCTGTAAGCTAAACGTTCCTATGTTTATTCTTCCCTTTACAGCCGTTTTAAGTGCCATCACACAGGCGAAAAGTTGGACTGACGACAGGAAATCATCCGGTGGACCGGAAGCGTCATCAAACACTTCATTTCCTGATGCGGTTGCGGTTGCCTACCAGTTGATGCAAGACTTGTCGTCCAAAGTTGAGCCTCCGAACACCGTGTCGTACCCCATAGCGCCTAAAGATGTTGAACGCTTGTTTTGGGCCTCGTGGAACAATCAGCTCCTACCGAATGCCGGGCGCGCCATCTCACAAGTAGCGACGATATATCGCAAAACGTGAGTTTCTTTCCGCTTATACTGTTGATGAGAACTGCTCGTTTATGTGCGTCTTTCCTGTTTGCTAGTTTCCGTCCAAAGATGCTAGCCTCTTCAGGTGAAAATAGCCCGCAGTTCAACGTAAGGAACTGTCCATCTGTGCCTCGTTTATGGACACAGGCTTTATTGTAGTGTTACCGTGCTCAGTGTATAAACATGCCGATTGTTTGTTCAGCCTATTCTCGTGTGATGGAACTCTATAATCCTTCATTTCGACAGTTTGCTCAAACGGGAAGGTCCGTGGTTCGAACCCGACCTCTGCCTCTCGACTTCTCCTGTCTAGCCTTAGGCGACCTGGCAGTATCCCAGCCCTCGTGCTTCCTTCTAGAGGGATGGCAGCTGAGCACCGGAAGAGTACTGCAGCTGAACGATCTTTTTTGCTGAAACCTTCTTGAGTAAAAACTGCTTGGGGAATCAGATTTAGGTTCAAGCTGGTGAGATTGTGAGACTGCACATCTGCCTTTTTAAAACACGTTTCGTTTCTAAACCGATGTGAACGGCGAATTTTTTGCATACTCTGAATACTTAGTTGTACTTTATGAGACAGATTGTAGTGTGACAGATGAGGTGAATGCACGAATCTGCAAGGCTCGGGCTGCGTTTGCTAATTTGAGACACCTATGGCGTCAGAATGGTTTATCCCTGAGTCTGAAGGGACGTGTGTATCAAGCTACAGTACGGGCTGTTTTGTTGTATGGCTGTGAGACTTGGCCTATTCGAGCAGCGGACCTGAGACGTCTTCAGGTGTTCGACAATCGTTGTCTCAGAACCATAGCTCGTGTGGGTTGGTGTCAGCGAATCCGTAACGAGGCAGTTAGAAAGCGTGTTTTCGGTTGTGTAACGGGTACTTCCATTGAAGAATGTGTCCAGCACCAGAAGCTGCGTTGGTTGGGACATGTTTTACGCATGCCGAACCATCGTTTGCCGAAGAGAGTACTGTTTTCCATGCCCAATTCGGAGTGGCGTAAACAGAGAGGTGGCCAACCCATGACCTGGCAGAGGAGTATGAAGGAGATCACGAAACGCTTGGGTGCTGTCGGTGCTACTCGCCTTCCAGGATGGGGACCGCGTGATCCTCACTGTGCCTGGTTGGAGACACTACAAGATATGGCTGCCAACCGATGTCAGTGGCGTTCTTGTTGTCAGTTTCTATCCAGATTGCCTGAGTGAATGTCTGGAGGTGTAGGCACCTCGGAATGATTGTGTTAAGCTAGCACTAAGTCCCTTCCCGGTCCACCTTTATTCTTTTCCTCACAATAAGGCTTTCAAATAAGTCATGGTTGTACGCCAGTGAAGCATCGGTGTTGAACACTGATGTCATGCTGTCGTTGATGATGATAACTTTACAAGACTAGATAAAACAGTTTTTTAGTGATGGTCACAATGAAGTACACGATTATTTGCGAAATTTTGACATTTCCTTCAGCTAAAGGGTGATGAGCAAGTCGGTCGCAGGTTTTGGGCATTGCACAATTTTTCTGAGAGGTTTTCGTTGTATTTTGAAGGTTTCCTCATGTTCGCTTGATCTCAGTTGTGCTGGCTGAAGAATGTAGACGATTGATGGAAGTATGCACTCGACCACCGCATTGCCATCCTACTTCGGACCGAATCTTGTTCGACAACGGTTGACTGGACCTCTTGTTCCTCTCCGTTTTTTCTAGGTCCGACGTTAAAGGCCTGGCCGAATATTTCAATCGAGCATCAAAACAGCTTGGTAACTTTCTGGATGTACTACTCCTCCGGGAATCCATGCGGACGTTGTTAGATGATGACTTTTCGAATAATCTGAGGTTGCTCCAGTCCAGTAAGTCCCAGTTTTGTCGGGTTTTATGTGAATGAAAAAGGTCCAACTTTCCTAGCTGTTACGAAGGTAAGTAAAGATGGTCTCTAAAGAATTGTTCTTGAACAGTTTCGCGTTCAATATGAGGCTAGCCCATCGGTCGATTGAATTACCCGTTGAACCGAACCAAAGAAAGGACATGCTTATTTCCGTGTTAATCCTCCTACACAACCCATCTGTTGCCTGCTAAAATCATTGAGAAACACGTCCTTTGTTTATTTCCAGCTGGAGTGATTGTAGAACATTATCTATCTACTAGTGACTCCCCCGAGACTTTTTTATGAACTGGACAAATAATGCAGCGCCATGGCGAGTAGAGAAGAAACATACGGGTCTTTTTAAGAAGATGATGGTTACTATCACTCGTCAGAGAGACGCATACCAGGCGAGCCACTTCACCGATTGGCGTCCGTGCACCCACCGGTGTGACGCCTTCACCCACCTTCCTGTAACAGCACCTTCTCCACATATCGGGCCTCCCGAAACTAGAAACTAAGTAGGGGGCGAGATGCCTCAACTGGTTAGAGCGCGAATTTACTGACCAGAAGGTCCGTGGTTCGAACCCGACCTGTGCATCTCGACTTCCCCTGTCTAGGCTTGGGCAACCTGGCAGCATCCTAGTCCTCGTGCCTTTCTCGGGTAGCATGGCAGCTAGGCGCTGGAAGGGCATTACAGCTAAACTATTACGAGACGATTCGCCAGAAGCATCTCTTTTGCAGTCGAGTGGTTTTAATGTATTGAGGTTGCGAAGGATTTCCGAAAGTTTTTTCTCCGTCATGTGAAAGTCGATGACACATAGGTGTTGTCCCAGAACAAGGACATCATAATCACTACTCTGGAGAGTGGCAACGCCTCTGACATATCCCGAAACTAGAAACTAAGTAGGGGGCGAGATGCCTCAACTGGTTAGAGCGCGAATTTACTGACCAGAAGGTCCGTGGTTCGAACCCGACCTGTGCATCTCGACTTCCCCTGTCTAGGCTTGGGCAACCTGGCAGCATCCTAGTCCTCGTGCCTTTCTCGGGTAGCATGGCAGCTAGGCGCTGGAAGGGCATTACAGCTAAACTATTACGAGACGATTCGCCAGAAGCATCTCTTTTGCAGTCGAGTGGTTTTAATGTATTGAGGTTGCGAAGGGTTTCCGAAATTTTTTTCTCCGTGGAGCAGAGAAACTCACCGTTGTTATCACGGATTTCAAGGGACTTTATCTCTAATGCCAAGATTGGTGTAGTTTTGGGCCGGTTTTTGAGCAGTTCCAAATTAGAGCATTCACTTTTCTCAACCTGCTGCAAATTTTTAGTTTTTGGCACAGTGATTCACTACTGCCGAAAGTCAACACTTTCTCTCTGGCCAAACATAACGTTTCTCTGAAAAAGCGAACTAGTTAGATAGGCCATGACAATACCCTAGGGACGGAGAGTTTACTGTACCAATGTGCACTTGGGTGTTGTCGAATTATCGACGAACCGGAAGCTTCAGATGAGCGAATAACCCGATATTTACCAGGGCGAATCAGAATGTGCTCACCCAGTTATTGTGTGTAAGCGGGTTCCCTCTTATGTAGTAATTCCGAAGGACTCAGCTAGCTGATTACTTAGTTTCTCGTCGTTCAGCTGTAACACCCTTCCGGTGCCTAGCTGTCATGCTACCCGAAGGAAGCATGAGGGCTGGGATACTGCCAGGTTGCCCAAGACTAGACGAGGGAAGTCGAGAGGCAGAGGTCGGGTTCGAACCATAGACCTTCTGGTCAGTAAATTCGCCCTCTAGCCAGTTGAGCCATCTCGCCCCCTACTTAGTTTCTGGTTTCGGGATATGTCAGAGGCGTTGCCACTCTCCAGAGTAGTGAGTATGATGTCCTTGTTCTGGGACAACATCTATGTGTCATCGACTTTCACATGTTTCCGAACCCTGGTCTTCCACCTCGCTTATTCTATCTGCTGTTTTTTAGTGATCAACAATCCGAATGGTTCACTCTCAACGTTCGCGGCTAAAACCTGTCTCTTAGAGGATTTGCTAGTAACAACGTACCCAGATAAACTGAAGGACTTGACAGATTTCCATCGAGGCTCCACCGATTATTGGCCAACCAAGGTATGTCATGTCAATGAGTTTTTCAACTGCCTTGATATACATCGTTTCCTGATAAAGTGAATGCCGCTGGAAGTGAAAGCTGCTGAGGCAAGTAACCGAGCTTGAAGTGGTGAAGTCGCTTAGCCTGGCTGTTAGAATTCTACCTTGATTGACCAAACTCAAACAGTATGGCGATGTACCAAACCTCGTGTATCTTACCTGTTGCTCCTCATCGCCAATTCGAAAAAATTACTCCACCAACCTACAGGTACAGCGTTCCCCGCGGAACGAACATTCATGGGTTTCATCGATGTCTCCCACAAATGCAGTCTTCAAATAGCTTTCTTAACCGCGGATAGGCAACGAGCTTTTATCTATTTTAATTTTCATTCATTCCTAAACCCGGATTGATTTTACAGCACGAGATCGCATGTGATCGCCCGAACGTTTTGGATGGCTCCCACTTGCCGCTTTCATGTTATGGTTTCTGTCGAATTGCCGCGGACAGCCTTCCTGTCGTCTCTGATAGATATTCAGTCTTCTGTATTCATGTGTTCCATAATGGTGACAACGGGTGTACAGATTATTGGGGCGGGAGCTAGTGTTCGTTTGAAGCTCGAACTCGAATGATCATCATTACGAGGACCCGGGTTCGAGCTTCAAAAAAAGATTATTTTTGAAGCTCGAACCCGGGCCCTTGTTATGATGATAATGAAAGTACGATGGCGCACAGTGATAATCCGGGTCTTGGGCATCGCGCTATTACGAAAAATATTGGCAGGACAGTTCAGGATTTTGTGTAGGCCCCTATTCTGTCAGTTTGTTTGCCATCGGTCTTTGAGAGCCTGACAGTTTGTATGAGGTGTTAGACAGACCCATACGTCATTGACTCCAAGTTGCCTGTTCTTATTTTTCAATAGGTGCTTTCGAAACGCCTGCCAACAGGTCATCTTCAGAAGCTCCGAAGTCTACACGATGCAACAGACGATCTTTGTAAGTTGCTGTTTCACTCCACTATTCCCTTTTTTAACCGTGTGATCCTGTCTAGTTATTGGGCGTCGGTCACGATCAGTCCTAGTTACCCCCGCGCATCCTCTCCCTTTAAGCCAGGCCAGAATTTCGTGCGCGGTAATGTCACCTAAATGCTGTCGATGTCCTATTACAAATGCAACACACCAGTTGATTTGTCACTCAACAGAATTTGCCTCTCCACAGCCGACTGCTTCGTCATACCAGTTTTACACACGGAACACAGGTTGGGGGCGAGATGGTCCAAGTGGTTAGAGCGCGAATTTACTGACTGGAAGGTTCGTGGTTCGAACCTGACCTCCGCCTCTCGACTTCCCTTGTCTAGGCTTGGGCAACCTGGCAGTATCCCAGCCCCTTTGGGTGGCATGGCAGCTAGGGACCTAAAAGGTGCTACAGTTGAACAGCACAGGTTATTCCCTCAGTTCATCTAATCCACAATTGATCCCCCCTCTTGCCACCAGTGTTCGCCACACTGTGTAAAAAAATCCGGTCGGTCGCTTAGTTGCTTAGCTATTTCACTCGCTGTATCACTTCGCATCAACGAAGGTCTTGTGTCGTGTTTTATAAGTGACGTGGTTTGATGACATTTGAATTCGAACTTGCATCATAATGGACGTCCTGGAGGTTTGATTCGAACACCCATACGTAATCCGCAGGGACACGGTTTACTAAGCCCCTGTAAAATCGAAACCGTTTAATCATTCGATGTGGTCGAATAGTTCGCCCACTTCGACAGCCGGTTTAGTCTCCTTAGCCAGACGAAAAGCTTGTTGGCTTCTCATCGGAGTGCGCTCTTTGCCTAGGTATCCAACTCACTCCACCTTTGTGCTGTGTGTTCCGATTCACAGATATCTTACTCTTTGTTCTAGGTAAATCAAACGAACTGTTTGCCGCGCACTCCCTCCGTTTGTGGGCCAGTCAACTTGGTTTGCTGATATTTCCAAGAACGAACGAACTGCTCCTACTTTTCCCCCACTTGAATCCATCGCGTCAGCGTCAAATATCACTTCCACAATGGTGTATGAGTCACGAGCTATCGCAACACTTCCCTGTCAATCTGGACCATCGCTTCCTCACTTCCTTAGACTCCCTCATCATCGACCGAAGTCAAGAAACGCTAGCTTCCACTGTCAAATCTGTAGCCACATGCCTTGTGGATCGCATGGCAAGTAACCGGATAGATTCCATCTCAAGCAACTGGGTTCCCACTTGGTTAGTGGTGTGTCAACGATTACATCAGACCGGTTCCATGTTTACCTCCCCCGAACCCTATACAGCACTGGCTGCCGAATTCCTTAGACAAGGAGCATCAGCTCAATTGAACGTGATGGGTGAATTGGATCATTGGTTCTTCTACGCACCAACCACTCACCACAAGTCAGCTCTTGTACTGGCCGCTCTCGCCAGTCCACCGTAAGTTTATTCTTTCATTGCGTATACAGTAAAATGATAATCACAGAGATTGAACAGTTTATTCCTTTCCAGCACACAAACAAGCGTCGGAAATGAGTCGCTTTCATGTGCCATATGCTGAATTTTTCTCCTACGGACCTACATGGATTGCCTGTGGGGTTGGTGGCGTGGATAAACAGAATAACACACGAAAGACTGGGAGGCCCCTATCAATCGAGAGGAGTTTGTTTAGCTGTAGCACCTTTTCGGCGCCTAACTGCCATGCCACCAGAGAGAAGCACGAGGGCTGGGACAATGCTAGGTTGCCCAAGCCTAGACAGGGGAAGTCGAGGGGTTGGGTTCGAACCACGAACCTTCCGGTCAGTAAATTCGCGCCCTGATCACTTGGTCCATCAAGAGAACGTTGACCTGGGTCTTTAGTAATCGAGCAGAATGATCGTTTAGGTGTAACACCCTTTCGTTGCCTAGCAATTATCCCATCCGAACAAAGGTCCTACGGTGGACTCAGGCAATGAGCGTTACCGAGTCTAACATCTTTTAGGACAATAATTTGCCTGCGGTAAGCGAGATAACTCAGTGGTTAGAGCGCGAGTCTACTGACCGGAAGGTCCGTTGTTCGAACCCGACCTCTGGCTCTGGATTTCCTCTGTCTAGGCTTAGGCAACCTGGTATTATCCCAGCCCCCGTGGTTCCTTCGCGTGGCATGACAAATATACACCGAAAGGGTTTACGGCCGAACGATTGTCTTTAGTTTTTTTATGGGGATCGGATTATATCAACTGAGGGGGCGAGATGGCCCAAGTGGTTATAGCGCGAATTTACTGACCGGAAGGTTCGTGGTTCGAACCTGACCTCCGCCTCTCGACTTCCCTTCTCTAAGCTTGGGCAACCTGGCAGTATCCCAGCCCTCGTGCTTCCTTCCGGTGGCATGGCAGCTAGGCACCGGAAGTGTGCTACAGCTGAACGCTTTATATCAACTGAGGATGGATCAGAAGGTTCGAATTCGAAGTGCCTCCACTGGGATAAGAAAAAAATAGGGTGATATCCCGTAAATCCGAAGCCAAGCTTAGATTTTTCAACGTTGTCGTGTTACTACCTTAGGGAATCACTTCTTGTCAGTTAGTTGGTTACACTGTTGCTTATTTAGGTTGTTCCAACGTGCCACAAGATCTCAAATTAGCTTACTCCCTTCCACGATGAGTGTCTTTCACTGAGAAGTGCGCTATGTTGTTTTAGTTCTTTATCACCGATTCTACGGACAGGCGTTGATAGGTTTTTTAGGCGGTAAGTTCAAAGGAAAATCCTGAATTAGCCTTTCTCAGAGACTGTTTAACAGAAAGCCAATTGCGTCAATAGTTGTGGATTCTTTTCCGTCAGCCCAGTGTTTATGGACTTGTGTGTTAGTCTTGCTAAGATCGGAGGTGATGGCTGAACGGACTTCCAGTCCGTCAGTTGAGTTGTTTTATGCGTCACAATCATTCCCAATTTTTTTCAAATTTGCGATCCCATCAAAAGTAAGTTTAGGCTGCTCTGTGGATCGGGCAACGAGTTTTTTTTACTCAACGTCATATTCAGATTTGCATTTACCTAGGTCCTAGTAAAACTAAACTGACGGCTGCAATTCTAGTACATCCGATCAAACTGTCCGACTTCTTTATCACCAAGGGTGTACTCTGTCGTACAACGAGTGAATGAAGCCTCAAACCCCCTACCCATATTTTCATTTAACTAACGCCTTGTTTCTCGTTTCTTCACCAAGTTTTCAGGGTTGGGGTATCGCGAAACTCCGATCACAACCGGATCTGCTGTGCTCGGTCGGCACCAAAATCGATCCGTCCACAGTTCTGTCTGATGAACAACAATCGTTTTGTAAGTTTCTCATTCTTCCTTTTTATCTTCATTTTTATGCCTTGGAAAAATGTGGATTGCACCGATCAACCTTCATCTTTTAGGTTGCTAGTCTTGATCGATTTCAGGTCATTGCTATGTCTCCGTGATGTCTGTGGGCATTATACAAGTCGAGCATCGGATCTTCTCGTTCAGCTGTATAGCACCCTTTCGGTGCCTAACTGCCATGCCACCCAAAGGAAGCACAAGAGCTGCCAGGTTGTCCAAGCCTAGACAGGGGAAGTCGAGACGCAGAGGTCGGTTTCGAACCACGGACCTTCCGATCAGTGAATTCGCGCTCTAACCATTTGGTCCATCTCGCCCCCTATCGGATCTTCTGATCAGAACCGATTTGTTTTACTCTATCCCGTAGCTGCTTGGTCACACCTCCTTCCATTGTAAATTTAAAAGAGTTTGTTCACTCACTACATCTTATCTCTGACAGCAGCTTGGACGAGATTGATGGTAGCCGCCAGAAAGCTTCTTGTGACTCCTGCTAGCCATTGGTTGAGGCCCGACCTGGGTTTCGTGGGGACGGACTACGCTGTAAGCCACTCCTCAACTTTCCTTAGCACTCAAACACTCCTGCCTCGTCTCACTTTTACCTTAATGCGTTTTCAACTTCATTTCTAATTCCCATTTTCATCTATTCTTTGCAGTCAATGATGCGATTTTGAAGATGAGCAGAAAACGTACCATGGAATTGTCTGCCATTCTGAAGGACACCCAGTTTGATAAGGATGCACTCAAGGTAAGAGTTACGTGACTCTCGATGGTGTCATTGTGTGCTTCCTTTCCTATATTTGCACCGGATATCCTCGTCACAGCGTCGTTGCGGCCTGCCACCTGCAATAAAAAAAATCAAGAGGGACCCAATTTTAGTTTAGCAGGCAGTTTAAAGAACTGGCAACGGAAACGCCACCCACATGGGCTGTCAGCCAAAACGCACAGGGTCTCAAGTCAAATGGTTTGACTATCATGTGTTCCTTGTCCGACAAGGCGCACGCATAATGTTCAGTCCTTAGAATTCTCCCAATGTCCTTCTCGTCGATCATTTGTCTGGCACCACTTCGGCACCATCGGTTTCCTTGCTACCTGTTGTAACTTGCTGAACGGTAGTGAAACTCTGTATCGGT